AGTGTGGAGCTAAAGTGGTATCTGTAAACAACCACCGTGCATCGAATGTCAGTGTAATTTGGCGGTCGGTTTGTGTTTGATCTTGAAATAAAAACACCCAGTACTCGTTATAGCATTTCTCCGAACATCTACCATACATTCTTATAGATTCTGGGGAGCGTAGCGGTCTGAAGGTATTCCGGCCTGATGATAACAACGCAAATGAAAGGAAATCGAAATCTTTATCTAAAGTAACGTTGAGTGACCTCATACTTGGGCATACATTATTACCGGATCTTATCAGTCGTTATCTCTTTCTGACCCTTACCAGACATGATCCCGTCCTACTCTACATCAGTTCTTGGAACCAACGCCTCACGCGCTATGGATTTCGTGGCAAACAGACGTGCACACACATACACGCACAATAGACATACTTAGCGAATTATTACAGTCGAGATCCGTGAGTTGGGTAGCGTTCCCGGAAGTCATGAATTGATAGAATTTGCGAAAGTTAATGATCGCTGCACAGATGCTGTTGCTGATATCTCTCAATCCTACTATATTAATGGCTAAGCGTTGTTGTGTGTGTGTGTGTGTGTCTGACCGGAAATGTCATAATTCGCTGCCCTTTGACCAAGAAGGCTCAGACTTCTAGGATATGTGGCCGGGCGTGAACCTGATAGGAGTGGCGGAATGATAGCTACTGAATCAGAGAGCTGATAACGGACCCGAAATGTTGATGTCCACTTGGTTACACGTTGCGGGTTGATGGTGGGAAAGGTTTGCACTCAGTATAATGCATATGTGGGGTGAGGGGACCAAGCATCAGGTGGGACCGAATGTGGTAGCACTGATAAGGAACGAGTAAGGACGTAAAGAGTAGGATAGTCACCAGTTTTCGTTTGTGCCCCCTCTCGGCGTGACATTGATCCTTGGCTTTCACGATGTGGTGTAAGCATGGGACGGGACAAGGTGCGAGATTGAATGTGGGTGAGCAGAAGTGGTAAGGGGGGGGGGGGGGGGGGGGGGGTGAGCGGCACTGGTACTGATAAAAAGTAGCGAAATTGAGCGTGGCACTCAATTAAACTAACAGCTCAGCAAGTGAATATGTTCATTCGCTATCTTTCATCAGAAGCAAGAAAGTTGAGGCTGATGCGACTATCTGGACCTGGACTAGATAGCGAATAAAAATGCTTGTCAGATTTCCATCATAGCTCGATAATATGCTGATTGATTGCTTATATTTCACGTTACAGCAGCCGTTTATTGCAATTGCGGAAGTTATATAACCCTAAATCGCCCCAAGCTTCGAGATCAATGCTAAATGTTTCGAGAAGTCATCGATAAGTAACATGTTCCCTTCGCGTGCTAACTGCGCGCGGTTAGCGACACCTCCGAGAAATTGGACGACCTTGTGAAGCTTCATGGGGACAGCATTTCCAAAAATTTAACGTGTTAGTTTCGTCTGTTACGTGACTATAACGATAACCTGGAAAGTTGTCCAGGTGTTCATGAAGCCCGTCATTTGATGCGCGCGGTGTGCGGGTGCGGAGTAAACGTGGTATATATTGAAGCAGCCTTATCACGTAGTTTTATCAGAGTAATCGTCAGATTGCGGTGACCGGCTACGATTAGGATCTCCGCGTATACATAGTAGGATACTTTCTTGTTTGGTATTGATATGAATACCACAGTATCAATAACCAGCTTATCGCATAGCTTACAAGCTTATTGCTTGTTTTTTGGACATTTTCAGCATTAACGATGGTGAAAAAAGAAGAAATACTTGGATCAGAGTCTGTCGATGAATTGGGCGTTTTCATGCTGTAGTTCATGCCGATGACAGTAATTGCAGTTTGTGCAAGAAAAGTTTCCTCCTATGCGAGCCTTAAACCCACCTCGGAGCTTCTTTCTACTCCTGAGCAGTTAATCAAATGGCTGGCCTTGCTTTCTTGCGCTCTGCTCTCCCACTCTTAGAAAGAGCGCCCTTGTAACAAGTTTTCGATTGCGTTGTGAATTTGTGTTCTAGGAACTCTTGCCGGGTTCATTTTAGAAATCTAGCAGTAAGGGCCGAAATAAATCATGTTTTAAATCAACTGTCAGCAGCCGCCGGATGACTCCTTTTAGCAACTTATGGATATACTGGGATGGTAAAGAAAGTTTTGAGCCGTGTGATTTTTTTCCTGCTATATTTTTAATATTCAGCATACAATTGGATTTCCAACAATACATTGTCACTCCCTATTGTGTCCCATCTAATGGGCAGATCAGCGATCACTTCCTCCGAGGAACGGTTAGACGTGGAGTCGAAATCGTTTTAACCACTTCCACAAATTTTTAGCTAGGAATTCCTTGAGGTGACAGAATAAGTGGTAGTCAGAGGGGCAGTGTCAGTATCCCAGCCCAGCTCCTCCATTTTCTTCATTGGTCTCCTTGGCTTTATGGGGTAAGGGTCGCGGAGTAGATGGACAGAACGCGTCTCGGTCTTCTTCTCGACCAGCTTCGCCACTTTCTGGAGCTGGTTGGTGTAGATGGTACCGGTGATGGGGGTCATTGCGGGAGCAGCTTGTATACAACATTCCTCGCGATTTCAGAAACAAAAGGCAGACTTTTTTGAGAATGAAGGTCTGGTTTTGCTCGCGGCGGCGAGTCTTTTTCTCGAGGGAACCACACGGCACAATTCTTGTAAGTTTTGAAGATCCAACTCTCATCTTCGGTTATTAAGTTTCCCAGAAGCTTTCGGTGCGGGCGTAGAAGGAGAAACTACAAATTGATGCCCGGGTGAACCGCATCCCATTAGTCAAGACAGGAGGGATCCATCGAGTCACCACTTTTCTATGATCGAGGCGTGGAGGCGACTAAGGACTGTCGGACGGGTACACTCAAGTCTTGTCACAGGACTGCGGTTGCAAATCGCAAGGCGTACCGGTCTAGGCTTGTTTTCGAAATTCGTGTTTCCTCTTTTGTGCCGCGACGCCATTCATAGAAGATGAAGGCTTTAAGGTGCTCTCATGAAATTGACATGATGGTTGAAGCTAATAAAAGCAACCCGGCTGATGCACCTTCCGGAGAAGTTTGATCGGCAGCCATTATGTGGCACGTGTTAGATCATGGGTACCGATAAATAATCGGAAGTTCTTCAACTCTCAAAAAATGCGCTCAAGGCTTCCTCGCCATCCCAAGTAGTATATGTATTGTCAAAACTGCAACACCAGAATTTTTAGTGATGGTAAGATATCTATTTCAGCCAAGACCAGTTAACGCAAAAGCTAAAATGGGGATGCAGAACACTCACGTTATCAAATCACGTCAACTATTTCCATTTCAACGTTTGCCCTCACCCCCGCCTTTTTCCTGGAAAGAAAGCAAGGGCAAAGTGGTGGGAAACGACTGAGCAAAACGGTTCACTTTTTCTGGAGCTTTTTCTCCCTGCGAAAAACTGGATACCGATGTTAAACTGATGTCCGAGTCCGCGATCCGTCGCAGGTTTGCTGATTTTCGCGATTTGCGCGATTTTCGCGAAACCTGCGATGGATCACAGGAGTACACAAGGCACAACACACACAAGGCGCCCGCGAGCTGTGCTGGAACATTTTCAAACTTCCCGTACACTTCGCGGGCGCTACCGGCTCAGCCGTGCTCGCCGCGGCGCCCATAAAACGTGAAAAAAGTAGGGGGAGGGGGGTGATGGAGGCACTTTCGATTCCTCTGATACGTCGCAGGCTACGCGCGGATCACAAAAATTGCAAGTGCCCCATTTGAACAATTGAAACACTGAATATGAAATAAGTGGAATCATGAGCAGTCTACATTAAACCATAACCATGAAGCAGAAGTGACGGCGGGATTGGAGAACACCTTGCAGTATCGATGGGGCACTTGTGATTTCCGACCCGTCGCACAAATCGCGAAAATCGCGCAAAGGATCGCGGACTCTGACATCAGCCTCAGAGAGCGCGGTGAGAATCGCGTCTTCCGTGCGTATGCAGCGAAAACGTGATTCGGAGGAGACGCGATCGATTGATTCAGCGGGCAAACGGTTCACGAGAAGGGCCCATTCATAGGAAAACATTTATTCTCCAACCAAAGATGAAGCGAGGAAATTCGATATAAGCCAACCTCTATTCAATATATAGTGCACATCAACCTTGGCTTTCTCAAATCACGTGAAAACGTGGCCCTCATCGCAGATTTGGACATAGGCTGATGTCATAGTTTGCGAATCGCTCGATTCGCAAACTATGACATCGGCCACAGTCGATATACGGAAGTTGGGGTAGGCGTGTCATCTGAATTGACGTGCACTTGATAGAAATTCGTGGATAAGGTGTTGCCAGCATGCTTTGCTGATATCCAGCGATGTATGTTGGAAGCAGCTCATCCACATAGCTTCTATCAAGTGCACGTCGCTTCCGGTGACCGCTTATTCCAGCTTTCGGATATCGAGCATGTGCATGTCTTACTGTCTTAAAGATAAACGGATTAGTTTAATATTATTTCCAACAACTTTAATTCTTCTTTCCTTCACTTTTTGGAAACGAGATGGAATATAGCCACAAATGGTGCTCTAACCATCAGTTAATTGTCACATAAGCAGCTCTGGTCTGGCTGCTGAATTTCGCTGTATATAAGATTTTTCTTCTGTCGCTGGGAAATGGTAATACTACTTGTGCTCTAAGAACCGCGTCAATCAAATTTTTTCATTTTGAACCCAATTCTTCGCCGTAGCATCCCCTTGCTTTATTAATATCACGGGATATTACCCTCACTTCATAGTGTATTGTCAGTCAGTTTATCCAAATTTTAAAACCTGCCGCGGTGTTTAGATGTACTCCATTGAAAGCCGTGCTATCGGAGTCGAAAATGTAGTCACATAACTACCAAACTACTAACGCTACTTGATGTTGATAATAGTTTTTCAGGGTGATGACCATTGTTCCAAAAGGTCGGGGTTAGAACTCTGCCGCATCAATGATTTTTCATGGAATTTGTCGTGGAATTGCTTTCGTTGTTCTATAATGCATTTAATTCAGCCATTCACCGTGGAGGATTTGGCTGCTGCCAAGAAAGCCAAAAAGAAGTCTAAGGATCATAAGCACAAGAAGTCCAAAAAGAAAAAGAAACGTCACTCGAAACACCATCGCAGTGGTTCGCGTTCTCGTTCATCTCGAAAGAAGCATCGGGAAAGGTGTATGATACTTGAGTTTACTTTAGGTTTGTTTCTATTCACGCATTTGTTTCAGGTCCAACAGCCGATCGAGGTCGAAGGGCTATTTGAGGTCCAAAGAGCAGTCGAGGTCTCCGTCCATAAGCGCCTGCCAATCTCATGGCTCCACCGCGAAATCCGAAACGCAGGCTAAGGTGGCTGTTGAGAAGACACCTGAAACTTTACCACTTTCTCCGATATGTCCAATTCCCGAACGGACTTCCCTTCATGAGGTAAACATTTAACGTGCATACTCTACAATCCCAGTTAACATAGTGCTGTTAATAGGGCAGTCATTCCTCATACCTATAAGATGCCTGTTAGACTCGGCGATTGTGCAGTCGCTCCGCGATCGCACTGCAGAAGTGCAAGCCGCGGGCGTTGACTCCGCCCGCGATCGATACCGATGTCGAATGCAGAGCACTTGGCGAGCCTGTGCTGGCTGGCCGTATCGATGGTGTGCGGAGCCAGCACCCTTCCTTTCGCTTTTGAAATGCGATTGTGCAGTCACTTGACAATTGCGATTGCAGAGCATTGCACAATCGCCGAGTCTGAAGGGCATCTGAATATTCATCAATTTGGGGTACCTAACATCTTATAGTGGCCGCATAAGCTTTGGTAACATGTAATTACTTGGGCTCCATACTAGCAGCACCTAAGATAGCGTAAGCACAACTGTGTTTCGGATTTTGGGGTTTAGCGGTTGAATGAGTTCTCAAGCCGGTAATAGTACTGATAGTGAAACAGAAAAAACCAATACTTATCCGTGCGTATTTCCACAAATACCTATCCTAAGAAGCGCGGCCATGTTCGCGGTCGAATGGATCCCGATGATGATGACGACATTGCGAGCTTGAGTTTTTCTTATCAGGAATCTAGATCCCAACTTCAGAGACTCTTCCGAACTGAAGCTAATTTTCTAATCAGTCCATCTGCTTTTGTCACATTCGTAACACAGTAAACATATTCTCGTTCGTCCCATACATTTTATGCAGGAATTAACGCCCCACTCCTTCTGGGCAGCGCGCTATGCATCTCGTGAGTTTTGCGTACTATAGCCCTTAATCAGTTCCTATCAGTAGTTATCACTTCTTGCCACCCACCAAATTTGTCACCGTCCCATCGGCTCCCAGACAACACCAAACCACTGGGCACGGCCGCGGTGATCACGGCGGCCCGAGTTCGTTGGGCGAGCGGTTGTTTCCATGGGGCGCTCGCAGCTGTATCGACCCAGACGAATGCGCCCCATCGAATCAACCGCCCGCCCAACGATCTGGCCGGACACATAGTCGGTCGGACGACAGCAACGACTGCAAGTGTCGCACAGCATTGGGTGCGTATCGATCTGCGACACCTGCGACACTTACGACCGCTGCTGTCGGACGACAGCAACGACCGCAAGTGTCGCATAAACCGCGGTTGCAAACGGAAGGCGACGCGGTCACCCAATGCAAACCCGGACAACACGTGGCTGCGCGTGATGGTATTTCGAAAGTCCCATTGTAGTGTAGAGTAGTAGCTGCGTATTGATCGTGCGACGCCTACGATCGATACGCATCTAATGCTGTGCGACACTTGCGATCGTTGCTTAAGTTGCCGTATTAGTAGCGTATTTTGACATTTTCTTAAGTGTTGCCGCAAGCCAGTACTTAGACCATCACTGACACTGAGGAAAAAACCTCTTCGTTATAAAGCGCCACGTATAAGTACTTTGAAGAGTTCCGGTTTCGCACTCATTTACAACGATCGCAGTAAGAAAATCCCTAACAATAATTGGCTAGTAATCATGTGTTCAAACACATGTGACTTTTTTTGTTTTTCTTCCTTCAGTATTTTGTATAACATTGATAAAGTTTTTTCAGTGAAAATTGGCTCAAAGGCAGTAGTTTACTCAAATATTATTTCAAATGCTTCGTTTTGCTTGTTTTGGAGCTTTGCAGAAATATAGTGCTTCAGCTTAAGCAATTAAGTTGAGCCGTCCCATAGGCAAGTTCATGGAGGCGCGAAGTCACCTAGTTTACTGTACTCAGTTTCAAGCTTATTACTTTCGCCCACTTTTGAACGTTACTCTACGTGACTTATTGAGTACCAGTTTAGCTCCGCACACTACCGCGTGCATCACACGGAGGGGCTCCCTAAATCTGGCCAGCCGGAGGAGCGTTAGGTTCTGCCGCTAAAGAATAACTTTCTTCGTGAAATGCGTTAGCTGGCCTTCTACAGAATGCCCATTTCTAACCAACCGTCTGGTACGGTGGTGGAGTGCGGAGCTACAGTGGTGTCTATAAACAGCAACCATGCATTGGATGACAGGATGATTTAGCGGTCGGCAATATTGATGCCAATGATTTCGCAATAGAAATTATCATACATTCTTAGGATTTTGGGAATATAGCGGTCGAACGGTATTTTATGTTGATGGCAACAACGCAATGAGATGATTCTGAAGTGAAATGCGTTCTCTAGAACCACGGTTTTAAGCGATACATATGTTCCCACGTGATTATGGGCCTTTATCACTCCTGTACCTCACCGAACATGTTCCCGTCGCACTCTGTACATCACTTCTTGCAACCAACGCCCCACTGCTGCTGGGATGCGTGCTATGAATTTCATGAAGTTTGCATCAGCGCCTCTTATCAACCCCTTTCAGCCCTTATCACTTCCTGTACCCCACCGAACATGTTCCCGTCCCACCCTGCACACCACTTCTTGGAACTAACGCCCCACTGTGCTGGGACACGCGCTATGAATATCATGAAATCGGCGTTTGGCGCCTCCTATCAGATCTTATCATTGATTATCACTCCCTGAACCCCACCAAATATGTTCCCGTCCCACGCTGTACATCAGTTCTTGGAACCAACGCCCCACAACTGCTGGGACACGTGCGATGAACATCATGAAATTGGCGTTTTGGCGCCTCTTATCAGATTTTTTATTAGTCGGTGTCACTTTATAAACCCCACAAATATGTTGCCGTTCCACCCTCTATACCATACTCAAAATATTTATTTATTTATTCATGTTGTAAGCTGCATAAGGCAGTCGTGGAGAAACTACCAAGAACAATTCAATTTGATGCTGTACACTTTACTAACCATAGCTCAACAATTCTTCTTCACGAGGCGTTTGAAAGTAAAAAAGCAGGGTAGACAGGAGCCCTTTTGATTTTAGATTAGTGAATATAGATCCAGCTCGACACCTAAAGCTGTATCGCTTTATGTGGTTCGTTCGTTGCATTTGCATGAAATCTTCTCCGATCCACCTCTAGTTTTGATTTGACCTTTCATAAAATTGGATGCATCAACTCTGGCAATACCTGACAGTATTTTGAATACCATGCAAACATCTGTAAACTTTTTCTGCGGGAATTTAAGCTGTAATAATTTAAAACATCGGTTTCTGCGAGTAGGATCCAGGGTAAATTGGCATAGGAGGCCCTCTGGACTCAACGAACTAGTTTCCTCGTGAAATTATCTTGAATTCTCTCAAGTAACTGGACATCTTTTTTCTTATGAGGGCAGAACACTGAGGTCTAACATACGTTTTATAAGCCTTAAGTACCATTTTGTCTTTGTCGACACTCCTTGAAAATCTGATAATGTACGAAATGGTGCCTTTTGAATAGCGCTTGGAAGTGACAGAAAAAAGTTTATCTTGTTATCATAATGAAAGCCAGGTCCTTAACAGAGGCAACTACATCAAGACATGTTTGCCCAGGCAATAGGTGCTTAAAAAATTAGAAGCACCAATTCTCAATAAACGGTTTTTGTCGGGAGTAGGGGTAGTTCCATTCGTGTGACCAGTTAAAGATAAGATCTAACGCCTTTGAATGACTTGTATCAGCTATGCTTTCCACTTTCCTATATACTTTGATCGTCTGCATTTGCTCTGCAAATAACCCCGTCTCTAACGCCCAGGGAGATCTGCAGTTATATAGGACGAAATGGGGATAAGACGCCACCTTGAGGAACACCACTTCTACATCTCTGACCGTCGAAAAGGTTGAACCGATTCTAACCTGAAATGTTCTCCAGACAAGAATTTTATCCCTTGACAACTTAATGATGAAATTTGAGCCGATCCAACCAGAAGTTTCTCATGTTCTACTCTGTCAAATGCTTAGAGAAATAAAATAACAACGTCAAAGCTTTTTTGGCATCAAGGTAATCAGTCCAATCGTTAATACATTCCAATAGATTTGTTTTCAACCGATCGACCAGAAATAAAACCATGCTGGTTGGATGATATTATTCACCATTTCTATGCCGTAAGACGCCATAATGTGCTTTTTAGAACTTTTCTCAACATACGAGAAAAGAAAGATTTCATGCTTAACCGGCCTGTAATTGTCAACAAATGGGAAGGTTCTTTGTTTCAACAAGGCGTGCGACAAAGGAGTGTTTCATCTCATAGGGAACCTCAGTAAACATATAGAGATTGGTTTGAGATATTAGGCTAGAGGTTCTGCCACCAACATGCCGCAATTTTTCTATGACAACATAGAGGAGGTACGAAATTCCGGACGTCAGTGAATAAAGTGTTTAGGGCACATTTGTTAACAGTGTATAAGAACGTAAACCAGACTCACCAGGGGAAGTCAGTCATTGGACTGTCGACATTTCGAGAATAAGGACGGCAAGAATGTTATTCTTTCAGAAACGACTTCACACAAAATTTATCTGCTAGTGTACTTAATTTCCCTGATCAAAGATATCGACTCTACCCATCTCTTTTGAGACAGGATTCTTTGACATGCGGCTATATTTCTTTACTCAAGAGTTTGAAGAATGCATTTTATTTCCACTGTCAATGGATCTTCTTTTCTACATGCTTGTATCTATTCTGAGAGACGCGTATCAATTTTACAGGAATCGATGAAATTTCCCAGTCTTCGTCAGGGAACGAGAGTTGGCTGTAAGAATCAAACAACTTTATGTTCAAACAGTTTTGCAAGTAAGGGGGAAAGGTAGGAATTGCGCCAAGCAAGAACACGCTTAATAGCCCAAACCTGTTAATGAAATGATGTAAGATACTTAAGAACAATCTCATATTCTTTCGTTGACCGAACTTAGTAGATCGAAAGATCCCCTCAATACAAAACAATAAAAATACAATACATGCTGTTCCTGCTGCCCAGCGAGCGCCGCTATGAATTTCGTGACAGAACGGACGTACGTACGCTACAAACACACTCCACCACCCCATCAGACAGACATACCTTGCGAATTATATAGTAGTAGAG